AAATTTTATTCCAAATTTATTTAAGCTCCTTCAAAATATGCTCCTTCTGAAGCGATAACCTAATCTTCCATACACTTTTCGTAGACCCGTGATGGTATGGCTTTTAGTTCCTTCAGCGAATTCTCTTTTACCGATTCAATCGACTCAAATCCTCAGAATCTTTTTGAGCAGGTATCATGATGGAATAACGAACAACTAATTAAAACTACAACTACTATATATTCTAATAATGCACATTTTTTTAAAAATCCACAATAATTTAATTGTAGTTCAATTATTTAAACTATTCAAAAAATGTCTTAAAAAGGCAGTTAATTTCAGGACTCCGACATTTCTAAGATTTGGCTTTTTCTAAGGTCTAAGGTCTAAGATTTGGCTTTTTAAAAATTAGTTTAAAATTTGAATTTTCAAAATCCTATAAACCCGTATGTCCTCTGCAACAAATATAAAAATTTTTGTCGAGACATGCGTCCTTTTATTTTATTAAAAGATCGTATAAAAAAAAATGCTTCTAAAACGGATATAATGAAGTAAATTTATGTTAAAATCCGTTTCGTTTGTAAAGGAATCACCCATATATCTTATCTTCAATTTGTTATATGAACTCTGTCGTTTATAAAATATAAGTTTTCTTCCTCACAGCTAAGAGCACTGTGGGGCAAAAATTAACTATTTTTCTTTTTTTTTTATTTATCAAGGGCTTTGTATTCGTTAATTTGAAACATGCAATGTGTTTTTATGCTAGGTATCTAGGTGTTAGCCATAATGGGTTAAAGTTAGAAAATATATATATCAAAGAAAATATTTATTTTTACTAAACGAATTTCATGGTTTCAGTAATCTTTTTTTTTAACCTTTTGAAACATCAATTTCTTAATTTTATCACGTTATTGCCGGGACCTTTAACTTATGGACCTTAGAGACATTAAACTAACATTATATTATTTTATTTCTAACCTTGAAATGTTTTCATATGGAAAAATATGGGTTTAAAGGTTGAAGAGCAAAAAGATAGGAGAACTGAAGATCTTGTAAAAATTGTACTAATATTATTAGATGTATTAGAAATTAAGTATATAGCGTCTATTGGAGCTTCAAGCTTTTTTAAAGCAAATATACTAAACGTTACGAGAAAATTTATGAAATGAAGTAGCGTAAAATCAGAAAAACTAAAGTTACGACAAACAAAAAATTAATAGGGGTATTCACTATTACGAGTAACGAATAGTTATTTTGTACAGCAACAGTTTTGGGGTGCCATATACTAAAATTTCAAAATGAAATTATATATATTTTCATAACAATACTAAAAATCATATGAACAGTATCTTTTAAATTAATATCTTGTTTAGAGACGTATCCTTTATTTTCATTAATTTTAACCCAAATATGATATTTTATTTTTATAAAATATAAACGTTATAATTTAGGCTTTTTTTTGAAAGTATTATTACTATGCTAATACTATAATTAGATAATACTATAATATAATACTAACTATACAACTAACTAGAACCAAATTCCACATTTTTGAATCCAATGCTAAATGAATAGTTTTTATAGGTGAGAAAACTAGAAAGGCTAGAGTAGCTCAACACAAATATACAAACCTTTATAATGCTTATATAGAACTGTTGTAGAGGCCCTATGCTCTATGAGGAGAAGAGGACTACAGTCAGTAAGTAAGTAATAATACTAATTACGTTTAGGATATTATAAAAATTATTTTTAATAGTTTTAGATCTGCTTTCAATATTAGTTGAAGTTAGAAATGTGTCTCATCAGAATGTGTATATAGACATCAGTGGCTAGCCATCACTGTTGTCCAGATATTGTAATTGAACAATATAGTGAGGACATGGTTTTGTAACCATGATATGGTTATGAGCCCGTGACAGTGGCAAAACTCCAGAAGTTGAAGTTTTGAGTACAAGGAAAAATTAGAGAGTGTAAAACAAATTTTTTCAGCTATATTATAAACTATTATTAAGAGTCTTAAGTCTACTTCCAACACTTCTTGATGTCATAAATACTAAAATACAGATGAAATATTATTATAATTGACTTTTTATATTATTTTACATTAAAAGCAAACTCCTTTCATTACTTGCATTATATTTTCCACTTAATAAAAATTAAATCACTTGACATTATCCTTTTCCAAGAACACCAAAGCAACTTCCTCAAGCAAACAAATAATTTCCATTCTCATTTGGTTTGGTTTGTACTGCGTTTCATGTACGAGTACGAACGAGTATTAACATTTATCACGCCAATTTGGTTTTTACGGATTTACTTGCATGTACTTAAGACCCAGAGACTGCCCCCTACTCTCGCCCATTTCAATTTACTTCACTTTTAATTACACAATAATGCCAACGCCAACGGCAGCGGCAATGGCAATGGCAAAGGCAACTTGCAAAACAGAAAAATATAAATAAAAAAAAATTAATAAAAAATGAAATCAAAACAAAAACAAAGTCAGAAATAGAAATAGAAGTAAAAAAGGAAAATGTCATGTAAAGGAATTATTTAAGAATGAATGTATAAAGTTTACATTTGCGAACCACAAACATGTCCTTTGTGTATTGTAACATGCAACTTTTGCTCTATGAACCACATTCTGAGCGGCAAATTGTGCAGACAAGGATTTGGTGTTGTTGTTCGCGCCATGACGTTAATCGATATTTAGTACGACCTCGAAATAGCGATACTATAACGAAGGTGTACCGTACACTGTACACTGTACACTGTAGACTTGCACTTTGGCTGGTGTTTAGGAATTCCGTGTTGGGTGGACCACGTAATTCAGTACACTGCTTCGAACTTAAAGTTACTGCACACAGTGGGTACACTTGGCGAGAGCATAACCAGAAAAACTTTTTCTTGTTGGTTTTCTGATTTAATTTGCAAGGGTGTATTCTCATATTCTCATCCTCCATGTGATTGCATATTTTATGAGATTTACCTTACCTACGGCGAAGGCATAACAAACCAATTCCAATTCCCATTTGATAGGAGCAAGTACGGAAACAACATCAAAAGCAACCCTTTGTAGACACTTCCTTAACCAAACTCAAATATAATCGCCATTCCACCCTAAATTGCGTTCATATCCTAGTCTACGCACGTTTTTTATATCCTGCGAGCTTAACTTGTGCCTAACTTCGTTAGCTTTTATTTCAACATTATTTGTTTTTTTATCTACAATTTTGACTTTATTGTTGTTGTGGAAAAAAATTTTTCCAGACGAAAAATTCTTTATAAGGATAATCTATACTAAAAATAGCAACTTTCACTTCCGCTTAACAAATTATTTTGTCGGAATATTTTTTTCACAATTTCCATTGCAATGCATTTACGTTTTCAGGCATAAAACATTTGGAATTTGGCGAAACTTTTTGAAGGATACCGGAAAAGGTGAAATTTTATTATAAAAAGGCTTTAAGTGGATTTTAAATTACACAAATTTTACTGATACCATTTACGGAATGAAATCCTTATGATCTACTTTACTTCATAGTTGGATTTTACGTGTATTTTCCAGTGAAAATAACTTCGCACACTCAATGCAGTTCATTTAAGTTTCAAGAAAAGTGAAAAACTTTAACGAGAAAAACTTTTTAATTAAACCAACGAAGCATAATTAAATAAATGAAAATGTTTCTAAATTTAATTTGTACATCCTTTTTGCTCTATGAATGGTTTCAAATTCAATGATTACTTTTGCGAAAATTATTTTAATTAAATTTAAATAAAACTTAAAAATAAAAATTTTAAAATGAAAATATATTTTAATAGTTAAAAGGGTTCGAATAGAAAAGAAAAGACACGAGCAATAATTTAGTTAATTTATTCAAATTTGGCTGACCATACAGTTATTTCGAGTATTGCCGTATACCCATAAGCAGTAGTCTTGGAGTTATTTCTTATATTTCATTATACGAAAATAATGTTTTGAGACCGCAAGTACTAGAAATCGAACTCGTGCCCTGCCAATTTTGAAGCTCAGAGTCAGCGCTCCCAACTAATCCAAAGCCGTAATTGACATTATTCTAGAGATTTGTTAATTTACTGTGATAGTTTTAATAACAAATGCGCTTGCTGTGTTTATTGAATTAATTGAATTAATTAATAAAAAATTTTTATTTTTAATTGTTAAATTTTAATACTATTCTTTTTGTGGAGGCAATATTTGTTACATAATTTACGTATTCTTTCTTAGGTATGTATAGAACCTAATTTCGGAACATAATACTGTGAAAGTCATGCTAATGCTACTCCACGAGTCGCACGGGTCAGATCAATATTTTGTGAATATAAGTTGTAATTTATCGTCATTTTTAAGACAGAAGTGATTATTAAATTTAATAGAAACTAATATATTTCATAAAGAGGTTTTCAAAAAAAAAAAGTGATTAAAGGTCTAATTTCTATTGCAATTTCATATTAATAATTTGCTTAATATAAAATTTTCTTGGTAAATTAAAATCATAAATCGTTCTTGGAGACACTGGAGATTTAATGGCACTAAAAATTAATTCCGATATTAAACAAAATCATTTTACTCCGTACTCACTAAAGATATGTATAGGGATTATAATTTAAACAAAATGAGAATTAAATTTCATATTTTATTGTATATAAAAATGTGCTTATATATAGCACTAGCAAAAAATAATTACTAAAATAAATTAAACTATTGTTAGAGAGGTTTCGAAAAATTATGAACTACACAACAAAAAATCTTTCGTAGTATTTTAATTAATTAAATATTTGGCTGACCATACATATACAGTTTGTCAAGAAAGTGTTTTGACAAAGCAAAAAATTTGTATTTTTTGTTTTTATTTCCGAAAATATTAGTTATTATTTTTTATTTCCATCTTTTTTTTACACATGATGCTTACGCAACATATTTAATCTTAAAATAAGACAAAAAACTTATTCATTTAATGTTACAACAACAATAAAAATAACGAAAATAAAAAAAACTTAAGATGCCAGGTAAAAGAGTTTCGTTTAATATAGTACAAATGGTGTATTACAACTATTATGATGGAAAAACCATCAGTGAGCTATCCGAAATGTTTTGTTTAAGTCGACAAACCATTTATAATATCATAAAACGTGCAGAAGATGAAGGAAGATTGCAACCAAATGAAGTAACTGGCCGTCCTCGAAAGTTATCAGATCGAAATATTCGATCTTTATTAAGAAAAGTAGATGAAAATCCACGAATTTCGATCAGAACCCTTGCGCATGAACTTAAGGAAGAAAGTGGTGTTACTGTTTCTCATGAAACAATGCGGCAAGTTCTGAAAAAAAAATGATTATACATCAAGAGTTGCACGTAAAAAACCACTGCTATCGACAGAAAATATTAAAAAACGCTTGTCTTACTCAATATTGCATATAAGTAAGCCAAATGATTATTGGGATGACGTCATATTTTGTGACGAAACTAAAATGATGCTAAATTATAATGATGGACCTAGTAGAGTATGGAGAAAGCCATTAAAAGCGCTGGAAAACAGAAATATAGTTCCTACTGTAAAATTTGGCAAACTTTCAATTATGATTTGGGGATGTATTTCCACCAAGGGTGTTGGAGATCTTGTATTTATTGAAAATACAATGGATGCAAAAGGATATTTAAATATATTGCGCAATCATTTAATCAGCAGCGCAAATAAATTTGGCTTCATTCAAGGCAATAAGCCAAAGTTTAAATTTTATCAAGACAATGATCCCAAATATAAGGCGCATATGGTGAAGATGTGGCTACTATTTAACTGCAACAAAGTCATCGATACGCCTGCTCAGAGCCCAGATCTAAACCCCATTGAAAATTTGTGGGCTTATTTAAAAAAAAAAGTAGCTAAACAACATCCAAAAGCTCTATCACAGCTAAAGGCAGCTATTTTACAGGAGTGGTCTAAAATACCCATTAATTATGATGTGCCCAAGCTGATAAATTCAATGAATAGAAGACTGCAAGCCGTAATAGACTCAAAAGGAGGTCCAACAAAATATTAATTTATATAAATATACTTATTTAATATCACTGTAAAGTGAAAACAACCGTTTATTTCATTTGTAAAAACACTTTCTTGACACTAGTATTTTTAAGTTTTTTTTATTTTCGTTATTTTTATTGTTGTTGTAACATTAAATGAATAAGTTTTTTGTCTTATTTTAAGATTAAATATGTTGCGTAAGCATAATGTGTAAAAAAAAGATGGAAATAAAAAATAATAACTAATATTTTCGGAAATAAAAACAAAAAATACAAATTTTTTGCTTTGTCAAAACACTTTCTTGACAAACTGTATATTTTGATATAAAAATCAAATTTCATTAATAATTTTAATAAATATAAATGAAGAAGAAAAAGGATATATCGTATTTTCATGCCTTCTAAATTTATTGATATTTAATAAAGAAAATACCATTTATTATAAAATAAAAATTGCAAGCTAATCGATCTAGAAAAGGATATATTATCATTTACTGATTATAAAATAAATAATTGCAATAAACTAAACCATTCAAAAGAATTATAATCGTATATAGTAGTGTAGTAGTAGTATATTAGTGGTTATAGTCATTTTATAGTAATATAAAACGTACCCGCGGTATCTATCGAATACGTGTTTGAAATATGACATTTCAGGCAAGGAAAGAAAGAAAACATTAAAACTTATTTGATCCATTTGACCTTGATTTTAAGACGATTTGGACAAAAGGTTTTAGAATAATTCTAATTAATTATGTTAATCTAATTGTGTGATTAAGTTTTCGACAGGTACTCTAAAGATCACTGAGTTTCCACTTATCTTACTCATATGTATGTATCTTGTTTTCAGGTATGGTTTAATGAATATGTATTTCAACGTAGTTTAAGAAATCACGTCTTCAGTAACTTTCTTTCACTTGATAAACATGTATTTTGCAGGAATTTAAACTGCCACATCTTTAGTAATCTTCTTTCCCTGCTATTCTTAGGTAAAATTGATAAGATATTGGTCATGAATTTATACATGCCCACCTCTTAATCCAATACTCAATAATCATATGACATTTTTTGAACATCAGTTTCTTGATTATATCAACGTTTTTGTAATTCTTAGTTATTGAAGGCTAATCAAAACGAGGGAAGCTCACTACTATATTTCAGAGCTTTCTTAAAATTCTATACATTTGTCTATATTTTTGATAAGTACTATTCACTGTAGATCTTCTACAACATTTTCAATGGTTCGGCATATGAGATTTGTTGCAAAAGCTATATTTTGGATTAGATCATTGTTCAATTAATGTTTCCATTAGAAACATTACAGAACAATCAAAAGTGTAGTTGCAAAAAGAGCTGATATAGATTCATTCGATATCAGATCGCTATCCAATCTCGCATGGTAACGTATTACAGTGCTACCAACTTAGAGGAAAAAAATTCTAAAGGCATCTGTTAAGTGAACTTACAAATTTCGATAGTGTGTTTATATAAATAAAATTTATTATTGGTTTCAACGTGCCACTATAATTATAATTCATATTGTATTTTATTGAATTTTAAATGTGAATAGTTGGTGTAGGTGAAAAGAGACTGAAATGATTAGACAAACAATTTCTGAAACCCACAAATTCTACGTTACGGCATAAATTGATTTTTTCACTAATTGCTAGTTGAGCAAAAATTAATTTCACCTTTAGGAACCTCGTCGAAAATCCATACATAATCATGGATCGACATCGCCGCAATGATGTCGTCTGTATTCAGCATTAGGCGAATGTTAATTTTGATGAATACACACGCAATCCCAACCAATTTCCGCTCACGTGCTAGAAAAAAAAATTGCTTAACTGACATGTATGAATTTTACGTGCAGCTCGTCATGGTAAATCACTCAAATTTTCCAAATGAGCTTGAGGCAAAGCTGAAGCAATTTGAACATACGCGCCTCTACTTGGAAAAAATGCGAAGGTGGCAAGTCGAGGTTAAAAAATTCAACGCAACGAAAAGTGAATTTCCGCTTAGATTAGCACAATGTAGACCCGGAATAAAAATGGGCAGTGCAGCGGAGATCGAGGAAGCTTAGCGGTACGTTTGCTGCCAGCGATTTCAACATGCAAATGTGTAACCAATCAATTTCGGTTGCACTCACACGCACAGCTGCCAAGCACGTCTGCGTGCATCCACATAAACACATTTCGCACAGACAGCACCCATAGAGTGTTAGGCAAGCCCCAACGCAGTACAGAAGAAATGTTTTAATATTAACACTGGCAACACTGGCAGCACTGCCAACACTGCCAACACTGACAAATGGCAAAATAGTTTGATTAAATAGGCGAGTACGGCCTTTCACGTTGGTAGAAGGAATGTTGGCAGCATGTTGCTTGCTTGCTACCTCTAATGCTCATCTGCCTTTGTGGCGATTGCAAATTGCACTGATGGTTCAGTTGGAGCTGCCGCAATTCGCTAAGACGTCGATTTGATGAATGGCGTTTCTGTGGCAGGGAATGATTTCACTTACGCGTTCACTGCTGTTCATTTTCAAGGAATTAATTTTAGTCGGGGGCATAAGTAAATAATGAATAATTTATGAGCCATAATTACGTACTAAGAGGAGGATAAATTAATATAAATTACAAGCAGTGCTTGAGTATCTAACGAAACCGAAGTGAAAAAAAAATTATATTAAAACGTTATCAATAAAAAAAGGTTATTCATATCTGGAAAAACAAGTAAAGAAACTACAAACAAGGTGCATTATTAAATGCAACAGCTTTAATGGGATTAACTTCCTCCCAGTAATATTTCATGAACAATAAATAATAATTTTCTTAAGCATTCGTTAAGCATTTTCTTCTGGGAAGATTTAAAGGTACACTGATGCGCTGTTGAAATTCCTGATATCGTAAAATTATTTATTTTAACAATTTTAAAATTTATTGCAGCTCAGCTATTTATGCACCTCGTACATTTGTGATCATCTTTTTACATATTTTCTCAACAGAATCCATAGCTCGTCTTTTTTTCATTTACTTACTTATATATTTATTACAATGTACCACAAGTTTTGGGGCTTAAGTGAGCCGATCCTTTTGCCAAACGAGCTGTCACTTGCACCCTTACTAATGTATATAAACATATTGAGGTATTGGTGTATCTAGGTATGACCATACATTGGAATGGACTTAAGAGTGGGCGTGCCGAGATACGGGCGTACCAAGCTAAGGAAGTTAGTGGCGTACGCCCTTATCCTAATGTATTGTTATACTTTTACCAAAAAATTAACTACTTTTCATACTGTTATACTTTGTGTAATTAATGTTAAATAATAATACATAGTGACAGTTGAATTGTGAAGTTAGTAAGGGGATTAATGAACTTTTTTTGTCATGTTCTCATCCTCAACACACACCTCTTTCCTCACCTTATTACGCTTGTAGCTAAGCCCATGCCAACAAAAATGTATAAGTTAATATCAGTTCAGTCATTTTCCGATTTATTATCTCTTTTAAATTGAAATTCGAAAACTATAGTATACTCTAACCTCCATTTCCTTTTTTTATATTTCAAGAGATTTTCTTTTCTGACTACATAATAGGTGTATTGTGACTAACTCATGTAGTAAAAGTAAATTATAAGAACTTAAAAAAATAAATCAATTCAGTGTTCAATATAATTAATTATAGAACAAAGTGGATCCAAGAAATCGTTATGTGCCTTATAAGCATTATTGGCGCGTCATTTTATTAAAAAACATATTTATTACTCAAGATATTAGATTTCCTACATTTTCCAATACATAAATGCGCAGCTAAGAAAAGAGTTTGTATTTGAATGCTACCCGATCTCATAGACAGTTAGGTAGCAATCAAAGTTATGACTTAATCGACAGGAAAAAAATTTAAGTATCTATAAAAAAATAATATCAATTTCTTGTAGATCTAACCAAACTAAACTGTAGCAGCTGATCCATCTTGGAATTATACTCACTGTCTTATACAACATAATAAACATAAGAAGACTGTTCAAGATGTTGACGCTCCTTCGTAATCAAAGTATCAATTAAGATAACTGAGATTAGCACTAAAAATCATTTGATTATAGATATTTAGTACTCGACACATAATTATAATAATGTGTAAGTCGTGTTTAGGACAAAATGGGTCATAAAGCTTAAACATTGAAGAGTGAAGACAGCGTTTAACATGAACTGAAATTTCTTTTATATTCAAAATCATCAAATCACTTACAGCTGATTTCAACTGAAAGGGTTTAGTTGGTTTTAGTGGCGGATAAGCTTCCTCCCACGTCCAAATAGTGTATAGGTGCTATTTGATAACTTGCACCTACATATGTAGGACGTGTGCGAGTTAGGCTAAGTTGCGTTCTAAATAAGGGAAATTCTAAGTTATGCCGATAATGTGGTGATGTGTCGATACGTGTTGATAAATGGCTAAATGTGTGCAGTACAAAAAATCCCAAAAAATCTTCCATTTGGGTTAGCATCAACTTAGCCTAACTCGCACACGTCCGTAATTGTAAACTTCCATTGAGGTGCATCTTAATTTTACCAGGCACTGATACAGCTGTATGATCAACAAAAAATTCAATTAATTAAAATAATATAAAAATAATTTTTGTTGTTGTAGTTCACTACTGTTGAATCCTCTCTATAGTTTCAAATTTTTATAGAATAATAATGGAAATAATATAAGTTAAAATATATTTAACTTCCAGCATCCCTGACGTGAATCGTAGAGTACCATTAGCATGGGTTTCATTCCTAGATTAGGTTCAAATCCAAGAAAGAAATAAACTCATGCAATAAATAATGTCTCTACGAATGAATAGTATTGAGGTTTAACAATTAAAAATATAAATAATTAATTCAACTGACGGCTTTGGGTCAGTTGGCTAATAAACGCTAACTCTGAGCTTCTCTGACTATTGGCAGTCTTAAAGAATTATTTACGAATAATAAAATACAAGAAATAATTCCAAGCACAATGGTTTATGATGATGAGTATTTGGTAATACTCGAAACTGCTGTATGGTCAGCCAAAAATTCAATTAATTCAAATAATATAGAAATAAATATTTGTTATTGTAATTTACTACTATTCGAAACCTCTCTATTAATATTATTATTATTATATTATTATTATTACAATATTATTATTATTATAATATTATTATTACTATATTATTATCATTATATTATTAATATTATATTATTATTATTAATGTTATTTACGATTTACTGCGATTACACGCTAGCGAAGATTAAAGAAGTCTCCACTTAATGGAGTACCATTGTCCGGCATAAATGCCTTTATTTGGTTAGAAGAGCATTTCCGATTTAAATGTTTTTTTGTTTTTGTATGCATTAAATTATGTTTAGTGTAAAAGAGCCACTGTTAGTGCAGCTGTTACAGAATCTCTTTTAACAGTTCAAATTTATGTTACCCATATAAATATTTACAATTCTTGGGCTTTACATACAATTACTTTAAGCCAAATAATAATTATGTTGTTAAAATTGTGGATAAACAAGATGTTGTATAATTTTTATGATCCAAACTCCGAACTAATAATTGCCAATTAAGTTGTTCGATCAATAAATCGACATTAAAAAGTGACAATCTAACACCCAGCAAATGCGATAAGAAAAGTGAACTGTTAAAGCAGCAACAACAACGACGACAGTAATAAAAACAACAACAAGTAGCATAATAGCACAATGAGAAAAAAATAACTTCTAGCTTAAATCAAAATAATCTTTGTTCCACTAAAAAATTGAAATTTGTATTAGTGGTTTAATAGGGGAACACTCTCTTTCTTATGCACTCTCTCTTAAATTCTATGAAGAGAGTAGAACTCAGCTCTTAATATTTTTCTATAAACAAGTGATTCCGGTTTTGCCGGCAGTTTTTTATTGTTCGGCTTATTTTTGTTTTTAATTTTATATGTAAAAATTTTATATTTCGCGCCAATCTAAGCCACAACTAAAGCAGAAGAAGTAAAATACAAGAACAACACAACAGCAACATTCAACATAAAACAGCACAGCGCACTGTTATTACCGATGCCCAGTAGCGATTCGTTGGTGTGTTAGCTATGCTTGTTCTTGTATTTCTCGTTGTAAGCATTGTTTTTGCCGCGTGTTAACGAACTTTAATGTTGTTTAAAATGTTTTAGAATAAAAAACTATTTTAGGAAAAAAGAGAAACAAAAATGATTAAAGAGAAAAACAATAACTAACCTAACTCCAAAAAATAGACTAAATAGTATGTTTGTGTATACAAATGTAAATATAAATAAATTCATAATTTGTTTTGATTTTAAGATTTAAAATTTAAAGATTATTATTAATTTTAATTATTATTTCTATTTGTTAAAACTTTTTTACAAAACTAATTAGATTTGTATTACTTTACACCTTCCTTATTTTTCTTTTAAATTCCACAATATTTTATATACAATAATATAAATTAATAATAATTTATTTAACTTTTAAGTTTTATTTAAATTAAATTATGAAAATTATTTATTATTTTATTATTGATATATATTTTTTATTATTATAATTAAAACATTTATACCGCGTTTGCCTTTAAAAGTCGCAAAAAAAAAAATTACAATCTGAAATATTAATATATTTTTTAGTGCTTCGCAATTTTTTTTATAAATATTTTTAAATTTTTTTTAAAAATTCTAATTATTAAGCTTTTTTATGCTTAATTATTAGAATTAATATTAAGAAAATAATGTCAGGATATGTTTACGAAGCAAGAGTTAATGTTTGACAACCCTGTTTTTTATTACTCTTAAATGTAAAATTCAAGGTCGCTAGTCAATATTACATCAAAACATTTGCTGAATTACTCGCTCACTCTCCCACAACAAATTCAGCTGCAACGTTTGCTTAAATACGCTCTTCTACAAACAAAACAATACGGAATGAAAGTTTCCACAAGTCGCAAATTATTTGTTATACTGCCTTATTTTGTAGGAAATCAATTGTATTAACATAAAAAAGTATATAATACATTTGAATGACGAAGAAGTAGAGAGGTGCAAAGTGACTTTTTTAAATTGTAAAAATCGATTATAGCGTTATAATGCTATATTTTTAGTTTTCGATTATTGTTTCGAATGCAATATTATTTTTGTGCACAAATAAATAATGATAAATGTATGTAAATAAAAAAATTCGATATATATATATAATAAATAATTGTTTCTATGAATTATTATTTAAAATTCATATTATATTATATTATTATCAATATTAAGTAATATTTATAAATATTGAACCAAGATATTCCCGACTGTTTACTCAGCTTTGCTTATAAGGACGTGTGCGAGTTAGGCTAAGTTGATGCTAAACCAAATTTTTTGGGATTTTTTGCACTGCACACATTTAGCCATTTATTAACCCGTATCGACACATCACTACATTATCGGCACAACTTAGAATTTCCCACATTTAGAACGCAACTTAGCCTAACTCGCACAAGTCCTAAATATACGTAATGTATTAAGTTTCAAAATATTTTTAGTAAATAACTGTTTCTATGAATTATTATTTAAAATGAATTATTATATTTAAAATGAAATATTTATAAATATTGAAACAAGATATTATTGATTGTTTACACGGACTTGCTAATAAAAGTGAGTAACGTACAAAGTTTTTAATTATGTTTAATAAATATGTGAACCATTATTTAAAGTTAATATTTAATATAACGTTTATAAATATATATTCACTCAAGATATTTCTGACGTTTTACGCTGCTCAGCTAATAAGGCAGAATTTTTAAGAGAACTTGTATAAAGTGCATGTATCAAACCAAACACCACCTTGTCAAACACACCATAAGCAGTAAGCATGGTGAATTGTTTTGAAAACGAGTATGAAAACAGTTTGTAAGCAACAATCGGTGTGTTAAGTGGAGGATTTATTATGCCGTGCAGTTTGTATTTCCCGTCGGAGTTTTGTTAAACGTAACAAAATAAGAAATCGTTTCGTAAATATTTATTATTAAAAATACTTTAATAAAAAATTATAATAATATAAAATATGTAATTTAAAATTATTGAAATATGTAATAAAAAAGATTTACAGTTAATATTTATAATGGTCAGTCAATGTGTAACATGTGGATTACTTGTAGGTTGACAAGCAAATGTTGATTTTTTAAACAAAAAAGAAAATTCTTTATATTTATTTATGATTATAAATGTATTATTATAAAGCAAAAATCATAAAAAATAATCAATTAAAAAATTGTTAACAATAGCACAAAATTTTATTTAAATAAATTTTAAAGTGAAATAATAATAAATCAACAAAATAATATCAAATAAATGAAAATTTAATAAGAAAAATCGTTTTAAATTAAATTTAAAATTATTTCATTAATAAAGTGAAAAAAATTTTAATAACATATATTATTGATATAGTGTTAACAACAACAAATTAAAATAAATAAATAAACAGCAGAATAGTGTTTTATTTTATAATATACACGGAGGAATAATATATTTTTAAATAAAAATTAATATCGCAATAAAAAGATTTAATAATAAAAATAAAATATAATATAAATTTTTTAAAAATCTAAATATCAAAAAAAAATATAAATACAGAATTTATTAATATATAATAAAATTAATATTTTTTTTTCTCTATCAAAAATGTATAATTGAAATTCTACTCCAAATAAGTGGAGAACCTTTTAACCAAAATCCTTTTAATATTCGCCGGAAAAAAGAAAAATGCCGCCCTTTCTGAAATTTTCCTCCGCCAACGTTTGTGCCATAATTTTCTTTGTACTGCAGACCGTCGTTGCAGTGCAACGTTACGATCAACTGCCCCACGATGGCGGTTCGTATTATCGCACTTCCAGTTCTGGCGAAATGATAAGCTCGTCCGCTATGACGAGTGATACATTTCCGCATCACAATCGCTGTGAACCTATTACGATTTCTATATGCAAAAATATACCCTATAACATGACAATAATGCCGAATCTTATTGGCCATACAAAGCAAGAAGAAGCCGGACTGGAAGTGCATCAATTTGCGCCTCTCGTTAAAATCGGTTGTAGTGCGGACTTACAATTATTTCTATGCTCATTATATGTGCCCGTATGTACTATTCTAGAACAACCGATACCACCTTGTCGTTCGTTATGTGAATCCGCGCGTGTTTGTGAGACCCTCATGAAAACTTATAATTTTAATTGGCCTGAAAATTTGGAATGTTCGAAATTTCCAGTTTACGGTGGTGAAGCATTATGTGTCGCTGAGAATACAACATCTTCGACTGCGTCACCAACGCGTACTATACCAAAAGTGACGACGCGAAAAAATTACGCCGGTATGGAGGGTCCACATCGAAATATCGGTTTCGTTTGTCCGGTGCAGCTGAAAACTCCACAAGGCATGGGTTACTCGCTGAAAGTTGGAGATAAGGTGAGTTCAAAATTGTTTTATATTAAAACTTAAATATAAAAATTATATGTATATGAAAATAATGCTATTTAAATAAATGTGTTTAATGTATAAAAATTAAAATAATAAAAAATTGAATCTACAATTAAATGAATAATTAAATATACAAACAAAAATATCTATTCTAATTTGTATAAAACTAAAATTAAAATATAAAGTAAATAATAGTAACAAAAAGACAAATAATAAAATAAAATAAATAAAACCCATAAAACCATGAATATTATATTTTAAATATATAATAATAACCTTTAACAAAAACAATCGAAATTATAAGTTTGTTGGTTTGGCATTGTTACTGGCTTTATAATCTAGATTTATAAAAATCTAGATTATAATAGATACCAAGCAGCATAGATCTATGCTTATCAGCAGATGGGGGAAATAATATTAAGTAGGGATTTGACTAGGGATTTAGGGAATGTGGAACAAAAATGATGGAAAGGCCATAATAATATGGCCAAAGGTTCTTTGTAGAAATTTAAAGGATTAAATATGCATATATACTATATGTTTATGTATATTGTGTACATAAATTTTATTCTATAAAAATATATTAGGTTGTACATTTAACTGAAATAATTAATACAAGTAATATAAGTATATGCATTATCTTAATAAATAAGTTTTAAAAAAATAATGAATAAAAATATAACAGAAATAATAATAAAAGATACGAAATTAAATAATAAAAGAACACTCTTAAAAAGGTATTATAATATAAATGGAAAATAAAACAAAAGTTGAAATAAATTATATACATAATAAATGTAATATAATTATTTAATAATTATTATACTTATATTATAAATAATATAATATATCATTGTAACAATTTTATAATAAAATAATATGTATAAATATAATAATAAGACAATATAAAATGTGGTATAATTATAAAAATGTCATGGTAGGTATATATTCTATATATATAACAATTATAAGTTAAAAAACTTGTAAGTAAATAGAATTATATATTCTGAAAATCATAATAAAATTATAAATACGAAAAAAAAATATGTATTGAGAGAATATTGCAACATTATTTTAATATATATTAAGTAAATATCAATGTTCAGAATTCAGAATGTACTGAAATTATGTAGGCATATATAATAAAAAGGACCTTCACTTTAAGAACTTTAGTGCTTAAAAGTATTACTTGATTTATGCTTAATTCTATAAGGGCTTGCAGTATTTATTATTTAAATACAAGAAAAACATTTATAACTAATATGTTATATTAGAAACACTCATTTAAAGACGAATTTGATTTCCGGTCATTCTAACATTTTTTTATTTATTTATTGTATAGTTTCGTCTCTCTAAGCTGGCATAATTCTGTACCAATATGTACATATATTTTCATTAAATTTGTTTATTAAAGTCAGTTAAAGAAAGAAACTATAATCTATTGTTGTAAACGAAAGGTTTCTTCAAACCGTAGAAATTAAGTTTTTGGCTGTATGGTCACAGCTGTATTGAGGATCGGGAAATACATATCATCAGTGGTCTTCTTGGAAATATTTCTTTTATTTTATTATTCATAAAATATTTTTTGAGACTGCAAGTACCAAATTTTTTTTATACATTATTTTATTAATACTCTGTTTATCTGTACAAATAAATAATTTCTCTGACAAACCCATTTGAGATCGGGTTTTGATATAGTCAGTTTTTGTGAATAATTTTTTAACTGAGCCTTTTTATTTTTTTTTATACTTTACTTCTCAAGATTTAAAGACTTACTTTTATAAATTAAAGTGATATTAGTTCATAGTTGTAGATATTTTTATATTTCAATCAAATAGATAATAATAAATAGATAATAATAAATAAATAATAATAAATAAATAATAATAAGTAAATAATAATAAGTAAATAATAATAAATAAATAAAAATTAATAAATAAAAATAAATAAATAATGAATGTTAAAGACTTAAAATTGTAAATTAATGTGATCTTAGTTTACAATAGTAGATATTTTTAAATTTTAATCGAATAGATAATAATATATAAATAATAATAAATAAGTAATAATAAAATAAATAATAATAAATAATGAGAATTATATTATAACAAAATGGGAAAAAAATAAAAGTATAGCCAAAAACTATAGGACTAAAAAAAGATTTATACGTAAAAGAAAGAATAAAAACTTTATGTGGGAAAAGTCTATAGAACATAAATATTTTTCATATTAAAATAGTCAAACCGCCAGCTTTTGGCACCAAAAGCATAAACTAATAAGAAGTGTCACAAAAAAAAATCTATAGGAAATGACTTAAAAACGACGTCTACATACTTATGCTATATACTTATTGCGATCAAAAAGTAACGAGAATTTTTTATTATATGTAGTTATTTTTTATATAAATGTCGCCGATGTTTTAAAGTTTATTTGACCTCTTTCTCGCGGCGGAATATTATTACATCTTGAAGTTTAAGGTTTTTCTATATTAATATTTATATTTACGAGTATATGTAAAAGAATTATAAAGTTATTAAATCAAGAGTAAAAATATAATAAATAAAATCATATAAAAATAATCTTGAGAAAAACACAAATTGTTTTTAATTTAATTTTATATTCTGTCAAATAATTTTGTGACATTGTACGGGTTTTTAAATAAGATTTAGGTAGTTCTCCCTAATCTGAAAAAAATACAAATGAATAAATTAATGGAAAATTGATTAAAAATATCAAAAAATACAATAAAAATATTCAATAAAAATAAACAGTAGGCCTTTTCGGTGGCTCGCAAGTACGGCAAAAAATGCATGTTGGCCTATGTTGGCCACGCGAGTCATTGGCATCACTGTTGCAATCTGTCAAATGTTTTGTTTTGACAAACAGCAAATCTTGTATATGTGCATATAAATCAAATATATTTTTATAAAAATATTATAAAATTAAAATGAACACGGAATTAAAAGGAATGGTATGAATATTGGAAATTTAAAAATAAAACATTAAGATAAGTAAATTTTTGTAGGTACTGTCGATCAAGATACGAAGAAATATTTCCAAACTCGACATTTATTATTGGAGATTCTGCTTATCCTTCTACAAACTGGATTGTGTCACCTTACAAAAATTATGGAAATTTAACCGATAGCCAAAAAAAATTTAATGAAAAACACTCATCTGCTCGTATTGTAGTTGAGAACGCTTTTGGTTCACTAAAAACTCGTTTTCGAAGATTATTAAAATTTACGGAGCAAACAAATTTGGCTGCAATAACAAATATAGTTGTAAGCGTTTGTATTTTACATAATATTTGTATTATAAAGGATGATTTGTTCAAGAATGCTGAATCAAATAGTCATAATGAAAGCAATGACGAACAGCAAGCGGATGAAGAACATGAATTACATAGATCATGGTAATAATAGAAGGGAAAGACTTTTTAATAATTTGTTAAGAAAAGTTTATTAATTAATATATTTATTGTAATTTTTTAAATAGAAAATTTTGTTACATTTATAGAAACTAACTTAACTTTGTGGTCCATAGTTTGCGTGTATTTTTATAAAAAATTTTTTTAGAAAAACTTCAAAAATTATGTTTGTTTTATTAATTTTACGTATGTAAGCTACAAATGAAATGAAATAAAATAAATGTTACTTTGTAATAACTAACATAATAAAAAATTCAATGTGCTTAATACTCACGATTTCTCCATTCTTATTATTTCTTCGTTACTTTTCAAGATTTTTCAAATTTTTGAATTCTGTTTGAATTTTTATTTCCTCAAATTTTGACATTTGATTGCACTATTCGTTGGAATTTTCAATGAAGGTTCACAATAGTTCACTTATTGCGTTGGTAACATTTTTTTTTTTACTGGCCGATGTGGTTGGCCAGCATAACTATGCTGGCCGAGGTGGAGAAAATAGTGTTGTTGTTTTGCGTACATTGCGGCCAGTATAAGCCTGCATAGGCCAACAACTTGCTGTTTTTTGCCGTACTTGCGAGCCACCGAATACGCCTAGTATTATAAATTATTTAATAACTTTTAAATAATAAGTTAATAAAATCATTTAATTAAACCATAAAATTTTATTTATAATATTGACTATGTTATTGACATACATTATTATTTATTGTAAAATTGTCAAGTATATTATTTTTTATTATTAATAATAATTAATGCATCTATAATTATGTATTATAATAAAAAATTTTATTTACTACTCTTTAAAAAGTCATATAATTTTCTAGTAATTTTTTTTCTTCTCTAAAATTGGAACACATAATTTATTAAAATCTTTATAAAAAAGGAGTCTGTCAAGTCGGTCCGTTTTTGAGTTGTTAATGGAATTGTTCAACAAGTTTCTTTCTTCTCATTATGCTTCGCCCTCGTACCTGAGTTTCTTACTTTCTTGGCATTGCGTTTGTATTTTTCTCTTTCTTCCAATTTACCTGCCGCTCAATAAAAACTGTGCCATATCAAATTTAAATGCTCAGGAATCAAGCCACAAGACCTACAATGCCTTAAAAAATTAAAAATTTAAGGATTTTCTGTATTTCAGCACCTTTTTTCCTTGTCGCCGTCGTCCAACACAAAAAGCAGCAATGTTCATTGTTTAATACCTAAAAAAATTCTACCTGCCTTGAGATGAGATTCTTTTAAGACCATATAAGCATCGAAATTTTTTGTCTTCTCATCTAATCCCTTTGAACCTTTGTAGGCAGTGAAGAAACTTATGAGAATTACACTGGAAACAAGTTTTAATTAATTTTCTGGCACTTCTTTTTTTTACCAAACATATTTTCACATCTACATATCTCTCTGTAAATCCCCTAAAGTATTTTTTTATTTGTTTTTAATTTTCTTTCCTTATTTCTAATTACTACATTCAGAGCCTGGCTAGATACTTGCGCAACCCAAAATATCTTTCCAATACAAATTTCGACAGTACAAATTTACTCAGCACAAATGTTTACTCATCGTT